TTTAAATTAATTAGTCATGAGGTTAACAGAAGCATTTTCCAAAAATAAAAATGCAAATTATTCTGTAAGTCCTTAAAAATAAAGGCAAGAATAAATCAAACAGAAGTTTAAAATAATAACATGAAAAACTTCTTAATATGTAAAAAATCTAAGACTAAGTTCGAACTTAGTCATAAAACTATGAAATTGTTTATACAGATTGCCCCATAAAAGACTTGGGGACTTGCGTTTCCAAAATCAACCCTCAAATGAAGCTAAGGGTTTGATTACAATTTTCCAAAATAAAAACAAGAACAAAATCATTCAAATGATTAAAACTGGTCACTGAGAAGTTTGTGGAACTGAAGCAGGAACATCAATAGCAGCGGGCTCAATTTGGGCAGGTGCATCAACAGATGTGGTTTCAACTTGGCTTGCAGCAACAGGCTCGATTGGGCTTGAAAGAGTTGGGATACCCGTATCAGCTTCAACATTCATGGGAGCTTCAACCACGGGAGAAGAGAAGTCCTAAGTTTGCTGAGCTTTTTCAATGGTTTCATTAATCTTAGCTAACTCCAACTCCAGGTTGAAGTTTTCTTGTCCAGCTTCAATTAGGGTATCACGACGTGAATTTAAAAATGCCCAACTTACCTCAACAGCAGATTTTTCTTCAAGGATCTCATAATCATTTTCCTAACCAGCAATCTCATTCTTTATCTCTTTATTTTCAGCCAAGGTAGAGTTGTAAGAAGCTTGAAGAGAGGCATGGGAGCTCTTTAAAGCACGTACCTTATCAGCAGAGACTCGAAGGTCTTCTTGTGCTTGAATTAAGCTTTGCACGAGCTCCCCAGCGTAAACTTTTTTTTTGACTCAAAAGAGCCTTCAACTCTCTGTTCTCTTCATTGGCCTTAGATAGTTGCTCTGAGAAGGAGGATTCGAGACGTTCTTTTTCTTTTTCTGCTTGGCTTGAGGAAGCTTTTACAACCGCCAACTCTGAAGTTAAAGCCTACACCTGCTGCTCTAAGGTACTCTTGCTCTCTTGTAAATCTTCCATATCAATTTGTGCACTCTCAAATTGTTCCTTCCAATTGATCGCCTCCAACTGAGAATCACGTGTTACTTTCTCTAAGAGAGGGATTATGTTCATCATTTCTGTGCCGATAAAGATTGGCCTAAAAAAGAAGGGAAATAAGAATCCCAAAGATAAAAAGATTTACAACGAAAAAGAAGGGAGAGAAGGAAAATACCTTCAAAGTGGCATGCACGATATCATTCATTAGAGTCAGGGAACTATGGTTCTCCATCTTTGCTTTTTCAATTAGGCCAATTAAAGGCTCCAGCCATACATCTGCCTGACCTGACTTCCTCAAAAGGCTGTTATCAGTAGGAACTTCAATAGTTACCCTCCTAATAGTGGCACTTTTACTTGAAGAGCCCACTTCCGTATGATGAACGATAGGAGGGGAAATTGTCGAATGAGGAGTGGTAGAAGAAGTGAAAACAGTAAAAGAAGGAACAGAAACAGTTGGGGCTGGTAAGGAAGGAATCATAGGCATGGGAGTTGAAAAAAAAGATAAGGGTATTTTATCTAAAATAGGCCCTAAACTTCCACTACCAAAACCACTGATGAAAAGTTGATCAATAGACTCACGGGTTTCATGAGGAGTGACGTCATCGTCAGGAATTATTATTGGGGTTTCAACAGGTTCGGTAAGAGAAAGATAAAGACTAGGGGAAATTTTAGCTTCGTCATCAGAGACGATGCGTCTCCTAGCTCGTGGCCTCGTCACCAGGGAGCCCCCATCTTCCTTTTCTTCAGAGTCTTCTTCTTCAACAGCTTTCTTTTTCGCAGAAGAAGAACCCAAGACTATTTCTCGGTCTCTTTCTAAAGAGATACGGGTTCTCGAAGAGACACGAAAGGTCGCAACTGCTTTAGTAGTAACTCCTCAAATAGCAAATCCTGATAAAAAGAAGGATGAAAGTTAGAACAATAAAGAAAAATATAGGCATGAAAGAACAAAATGTAAACTCTTACCATGAGTCTTCATTTTCCAACCGAAATGGTTAGAAAGTATTTTCCAAGACCTACCATCCATTGGTGCGGTCTTCAGCAATTTATCTACCCAACCACGAAAATTGGGAACATTCTCCACAACTCACATGGTTGCTAAAAAAATCAAAATTAGAGAAGTTGATAAACTTGAAAGAAAAAGGCACGAGAAGGATAAAAGACTTACGTGCAAAATTCCACTTCTCAGGGAAGGGAACGTGATCCTCACCCACTAAACCAACAGTGGGGGCAGCAACAAACCAGGCATACCAGCCATGGTCCTTGTCATTTTCAGGGCTCACCAAAACTCTCTTGCTCCTGGCTACTAGTGTAAAAACACCATTGCGAAAAAGCCTAGGAGAGTAAAGATGAATCAGGTGAGGGAAAGTAAAAGGAACTTCAGCTTTAGTGGTTAAATGCCTTAAACAGGAAACAACCCTCCATATGATTGGGCCAATTTGACCCAAACAGACATTGAAGAATCGGCAAAATTCAAGAATGACTGGGTCAATAGCTGGTTTGAACCCTAGAGTGAAAGGATATGTATAAACAAAAAAGAACCCAGTCAAATAAGAAGTAATTCTCTGATTTGGATTAGGGATGATAATGGAAAAACCGTTATTCCAGTGGCAGTCTTTACGAACTACAGGAGTCAAAACTTCTGTAACTTGAGTGGGGTAAGCATCAGCACGATCTAAAGCGGAAACCTAGTTTCTAAGAGATTCCCTATCATGGTAAAAAGATAGTTCTGTGGGGACTATCTCCTCTACTAAAGGCTCACGTAATGGTTCAGAAGGTTCTTTACCCCTAGAAGAAGATTTGTGAGACAGGGAACCTCTGGTTTTAGAAGAAGGACCAGAACTAGGAGAAGACATAGACGAATCACCACGAGTAGATCCTAAGCTACGAAGACTACCTCCTCTTCTATGCTTAATGGGGGCATTGGGGAAGGTATCAACAATGGGAACTCTCCTAGGGTTAGGGCTTGGTGAAGATATAGCGAAGAAGAATGATGTGAGGAAGAAGTAAACAGAGATTTGGAGAATTAAGTGTTCAATAAGCTTTATGTGGTAAAAGATAAAGAAAGAAGTTATATTTATATCGATAAGCAACCGCCAAAAGTAAAAGTACAGTGATGGAAGGACCATAATAATGATAACTGGAACTTCGTGAATAGTGGAGCCGTAAAAAGCCTTGAAAAGGGCTGCAAAACTACAGAACCAATGGAAAAATGACACGTGTATGGAGCATTAAATGGAAGCGACAATTGAAGCGTCAATTTTGTCATAGCATTAATGGTGACAAAAATTCTCTTTTAATGAAATCCACTTCCCAAATATTCAACTGATGAATAAATGAAAAGTGAGGGGACTATCTGTATTGGAAAAAATTGTATTTATATATAAAGGTGACGTGTCAAGACACGTGGACTGGTCAAATGGTTAAAGAATTACAATTAGCCAAGAGGCACGAGCAGCAACGGAAACAAGCAAGGCAAAGGAAGAGGCACGTGCAGTTATTCGAAGAATTCAGTGCCCATACCTATTTAAGTCATTTATATCCAAGAATCAAAAGGAATGGATATGACAATAGAAAAGAGTGCAGATACGATATTTGATAGGCATTAATGCTGAATACGTTAGAGAATTTTTATTGAATATAATGATTATGTAACGTAGCATTCAATGTCTTTAATTATTCATAATAGCCTCATTATGATTTGGGCAAAACGCATATCTCCAAGATATCTATAATAGGGAGATATCTGATCAATTGTAAGGATACGAAATACTATAGGAATATACTTTGGTTTACTTGTTTTTCTCCTAATTATATTATTGTTACCCAAATTATTCTCTTTTACATATTCTTTTGATTATCAGTAACCCGTGTTCTGCTAAATTCTGACTTTGACTAAAATTTCATTTTTTGGTTAAACATATTCCCTGCTAACTTTTCTCATAACAAAATCGCTAAGAGGTTGAAGTATGAATCTAAAACCTACAAGGCTACAAAGGGCAAAATCTAACTTGTAAAAATTTACTTGTATCTCGTTATTTACACTAAATTAATAGAAGCATGATATGTATTTGCACATAAAGTTTATTCACTTAATTGTGATTAATTAATTTAATTCATTAAATTATTTAACTATGATAAATTGAATTGGCGTGATATAAACAACGGGTGCGGGGTAAGTATTTACCAATCTAATTTGTTAAGCCTAGTGTCTGTTGTCTATTGCTGTCACGATTTTTTTTTTAAAGTTTAAGTTTTTAAGTATTGACGGTATTTAAAAGATAATTATAAGTAACTCTACATAATAAGAATTTATTGATAAATTTATAATAAATGATAGGTAATATGTTATAACAAGTTAAATTAACGCTAAAATTTATAGAACTATTAGTGCATGTAACTAGAATCCTTCATTGTTTTAATTAAACCCACTTCTATAAGATCTTGCTTTGCACACAATTAGTCCAAACCGTCACGTAAACGCCATCAATATCAAAGAATAAAATAAATAAAAAACGTAAAAAAATCCATTTGAAAACTACCCAAAATCTTCTAGGTCAACACTTGTGGGTCCCTTAGTATCTATTGTCAAGTATTTCATTGTTTTTTGTGTGCTGGATCAGTTGGCGGAAAGGCTTCATCCGAATTCCCTGTATATATAAGTTTAAGATTATTTTTTATACATAAATCATATATGTTGAATCCTCCTGGCTTATTCGTGAGTATACTTTTTAATATTCTGAATTCCTCTATGAAAATATTAGCTCCGCCACTGGTCCCACCTATTCATTTTATACGAGTCCCTCGTATACATGTCATGATGTCATGATAAAGTTGTACATTGGCTTTCAAATAAAGAAACAAAGCTTGCTTGTCAACACACTACACACCTACGAAGTTCGCGTGTTTGAAAGAACTCAAATATGCAAAATCCAATCCTATATATTTATATGTATAAGAGAAATTAGACGTACACTTTAAGAAATCACTTTCAACTCAGAATTCACGACGTCTAAAGTTTGAATCGAATTGACAGAAGAGGAGATAATGGTAAAGCTCAAGAACTTGAGATCAGATACATTGACACTTGTACTTGTAAATATTGCTGGTATAATGGAGAAAGCTGATGAGTCTTTATTACCTGGAGCTTACAAAGAAGTTGGCAAAGAATTGCACACTGATCCCACTGGTCTTGGCTCTCTCACTGTATTTAGATCATTAGTTCAATGCCTTTGTTATCCTTTAGCTGCATACTTAGCTGCTCGTCATAACAGAGCTCATGTCATAGCTCTTGGCGCTTTTCTCTGGTCTGCTGCTACTTTCCTTGTTGCTATCTCCTCCACCTTCACGGAGGTTCCTTCTAATCTCTGTTTTGTTATTTCTTTTTTTAAGAAAATCATCCACCAGACGGGAAGGGGAGCCTTGCCGTAACTGGTAAAGTTATTGCCACGTGATCAGGAGATTACGGGTTTGAGCCTGAAAATAACTTCTTGCAGAAATGCAGGGTAACACTGTGTACAATAGACCCTTGTAGTCCGGTCCGCGCGTAGCGAGAGCTTAGTACACTTGACTGTCCTTTTTTACCCACCAGACTTGTAAATATCTAACATTTTTAGATCAAAGAGAGAAAGAACACTTCATATTCACTCGAATTTGGATGATTGATGAGTTTAGAGTTCATGGACAGCCTCAACTTATTATTCCTTCCTTTTTCATTTATATGGCATAGTTTGACTAGGTACAGAGCTTAAGAAATAAAGGAAAGACTTTTTTAATCTTCTCGTGTGCATTATTTTCTTAATCTGCAGATATTGTAATCTTCACCGTTTAGTCTGATGACATTTGCATTTTGTTACCCTTCTTGTTGTCATACATGACATATAAAAGTGTCATCTTTTGTAAGTTTGAGTTGTATGATTTAAGTTTAGCAATCTCATGTCATTTAACAGGTAGCAATTGCCAGAGGATTGAATGGAGTAGGACTTGCAATAGTCATACCAGCAATCCAATCTCTAGTTGCTGATTCAACTGATGATAGAAATCGCGGTACAGCCTTTGGATGGTTAGCACTAACATCAAATTTTGGCTCAATTCTTGGTGGGATTTTGGCTGTGCTAATAGCAGAAACATCATTCTTGGGAATCCCTGGCTGGAGAATTTCCTTCCATTTGGTTGGTTTTATAAGTGTTATCGTTGGTTTTTTAGTCCATCTCTTTGCCAATGATCCGCGATTCCTTGACAATAAGGGCAACGCAAAAGATCAACTTGCACCGAAACCATTTCAAGAAGAAGTCATCGAACTCCTAAAAGAAGCGAAAGCAGTTATCAAAATACCTTCCTTCCAAATAATTATTGCACAAGGGGTTTCCGGGACATTCCCTTGGTCATCGTTGTCGTTTGTTACTATGTGGTTAGAGCTTATAGGCTTCTCCCATAAGACAACAGCACTACTCTGGACTTTGTTTCAAGTTTCTGTGTCGCTTGGCGCGTTGTTTGGGGGCCGCATGGGGGATGTCTTGGCCAAGCACTTTCCTAATTCTGGTAGAATTATTCTAGCTCAGATTAGCTCTGGCTCAGGAATTCCTTTAGCTGCAATTCTACTGTTGCTATTGCCTAATGATCCTAAAACAGCTATGTTGCATGGTTTAGTCTTAATCATCACGGGATTAATCATATCATGGTGTGGTTCAGCAACAAACAAGTATGTCTCCTCATATCCAATATATCATTCGTTGTCATGTGATCAGAATGTTATGGGTTCGAGCTGTGGAAACAGTTTCTTGCAGAAATGCAGGGTAAGGCTGCATGCAATAGACCCTTGTGGTCCGGCCCTTCCCCGAACCCAGCACATAGCGGGAGCTTAGTGCACCAGATTGCCAAGATTTTTTCTGTTTGTTTTACTCTTTTGTCATGTTTTTTGTAGTCCAATATTTGCTGAGATAGTCCCTGAGAGAGCTCGGACAAGCATTTACGCTCTGGATCGATCTTTTGAGACGATAATTGCATCCTTTGCGCCACTGGTGGTTGGTATTTTAGCTCAACAAATTTTTGGTTATAAACCAATTCCAAAGGGATCAACAAAGTCTCAAGAAACTGAAACAGATAGACAGAATGCTGCATCACTTGCCAAGGCACTATGCACTGCAGTAGGCATTCCATCGGCCATTTGTTGCTTCATATATTCCTTCCTCTATTGCACATATCCACAAGATAGGGATCGTGCCCGGTTGCAACAGATTGATGAAACATGCAAGTTTCCATCTGAAGAACAACAAGCCTTACTTGAGAGCGATGAGCACAGACCTCTTTCAGCAATTTGTTGAAATCTTTCGACAAAATTTTAGACTCTCTGTACATAGAATCCAACAAACAGAAAATGACTTCTCGCTAAGTTGTTTGTATAAAAAGGACAGTCCGGCACACAAAGCATCCCTTATTCATGCAGGATCCGAGCGAGGGCGGCTCCCCTACAAGTGTGATATAGATAGTCTACCCTAATACAAGTATTAGTGGCTGCTTCCATCGCTCGAACCTGTGACCTATAGGTCACACAGAGACAACTTTACCGTTGCAAAAAATTTCTAAGGAGTATTTGCTTATTATTTTCAAATTGAATTTGTTAAGATTATATCAGTTTGTAATATATTATAGTAGTGACTGGTGCGAAAAAGCTAGTTGTTTGTACCAACGACGAGGCAAAATATGTAAAGATTTTGATTTTTAATGATATACTAGCTTGATTACACACATTTTTGCCTGGAAACAATAAGAGCAACAACAATATATATACATCACCTACAACAGTGCCGGCTGATAAATCACAAATGGTGTTTTGCCTGGAAACAATAAGAGAAGAGACTTAAATAACTTGAAGATCTAAGCCAGTGCCTTCAAATTTTTCGCGTGTAATTTGATCAAGACGTTCTTGCATCTCCTTTTTGAGGGAATTCTTCCCGTCCCCAACAAGACCATTTCGGAAATAAGCAAATTTAGGAATGCCAAGAGAAGGTTCCAAGCCATTCTTGTTAACCTGAAGATTCCTCAGCCTCTCCAAACTGCATCTCCAAAGGACATTATCAAGCTCCTCCTCGTTCGCAAAAGGTCTGCCAAGAAACTCAGCCAACTTCTTCACTTGACCTTTCGGATCTTTTTTAATCTCTTCATACCTCAAGAAAAGTATCTTCTCGGGTTTCTTCAAACTTTCATTCCAGTACTCCAAAACATGGTCATGAAAGGGGCCAAAAGGATGAATGCCTTTACAGAAACTATCGAAATATTCATCCATCTTTGGACAAGGCTCTGCATTGGATATCGAATTCATGAAGTGCCATAACGACACAAAAACATCTTTAGGTTCGCGGGTAATGTACACTAATTTGCAGCTGGAATTGTCATTCTTGATCGACTCTGGAAGCTTGGAATAAGGCAGGTGAGTCCGAAAGAGTCGAGGTGAAGGCATTTCGTCAATGTTAAGGACATCAGAATCTAGGTTCTTTGGGTTGAATATTGATATTTCAATAGATGGCATGAGTTGGTTTGGGTGGTTTGTTAGTAAAGGGTCATCCTCCTCTTGATCAATATTATCTCTGTTAAGGGCCATGATGCAAGGGATAAGAGCTTTGAGCCAAGTAGTACCAGTCAATGGCGGAGCCAGATTTTGCAATAATAAGAGTCAAAACATAAAGAAGTATACACACGAAAAGTCAAGGGGATTCGACATATATTATAGATACATATAGAGACACTTAAAGTTGCCATGGTATTTCATTTAGACACCTCAAGTAGGCCTTGTTCCGATTGAACACCTATAGTACATCCAAAGTGTACCAACCAGACACATTTCACTGGTATAGTTGATAGCGTGAGTTGCACCCATAAAATGCTCGTGTTCATTGTTCTCTATGCCGTTCACTGGAGCTTCGATCACCGGCTCCGGTGTCATTAGGTCACCAACTTCCTTGACCTTCCGGCACCAGGCTTAGCCCCTATACATGGTCTTACAAATTTGCAGATACCAGTGTTTTTGGTAAACATTCCCGATCCTATTGATATCCTTGGAGTATTTTTGACATAAATGTATGTTTATACCCATTTTCATCTCTTAATACTCTAATTTGCACTTAGAAAATCCTACTAATTGTGATTCATTTTTTTTTTACCAAACTACGAAAGAAACATCAAGCCAAAGAACTTTCTACAACTCACGCACTCAACCGTGTCTGATTTGTACAATTTGGACTTACTACATGAGTTCAATCGAAACAAAACCTACTTAAAGTGTCTTAATGAAAAAGCATGGCAACTTTAATAACGAAGCAATTGACTCGAGGGTAGCTTACCCGTTTTCATAGATGAAGCAAGAATAACATCATCATACCGAGCTAAGAAACCAGATTGAGCTGCTATGGCTGCTTTTAAGAAGTCTATACGGTACCAGTAGCCGTCCCACTGATAACAAAAATTAACAGGTCTCCTCCATTTCTCCCTCGGAAGTCCATCTACAAATGTGGCAAATTCTTCTTCACTCATAATTGTATCTAATTTGGAGGTTGCCATAAATCACAGTTTAGAAGCTAAGCTGCAGTTTGTTGTGTTTGTGCTATGTTTTCCCAGGGGAAGCTGTTAGTAACCAAGATCTATGGATTTGTATAAGGCTTGTCTGACCACATATCTCACGTCCTTTTTTTTCTAAATTTTTCTTCGTTTTACATCACGTGTTCTTATCCTTTCTATTCCCTCAGCATATTTAAGTGGGGTTTATTCCTTATAATCGACCGACACTAGGTAATTGGCACCTCATTCGCTTTTACACTCACTAGTTTAGTGTACGTGTACAAATAATATTTTTGACTACAAATGCTTCATCCCAATTTTATATATATTTTTTATCAATTTAGCATTGATATATTTGTGATAATTTTTATATATACTAACCTTAGCTTGTACTATATTTTCAATTATTGTAATTTAAGGGGGGAGGGGGGAATTTAGAAAACAATATGAAAAATTAGAGTTTTGGAATAAGAAAAATGAATCTAGTCATCTAAAAAATGTAGGGTTATTCTCATTATTTTATTCTCTTCTTTTGAGTCGTCTACTTATTCTCATCTCATAAAAGTTTATACAACCAAAACTGACGACAATATATAAATAAATATCAAATATGTGAATAAAGTTACAGACGAACATAAAAAAAAATAGGGGTGTTCACGATTTGACGGAAAACCGATCCAAACCGAAAACCTAACCAAACCGATTAAGTAAACCGATATTTTTCTTGATTTGGATTGGTTTTGGTTTTAAATTTTAAAAACCGATAATATTTGTTTTGGTTTTGGTTCTATTTTAAAAAAATCGAAAAATAAACCGAACCAAGCCGACTAATTATATACAAAATTTAATACAGTAATTATTTATATACAATATAATATCTTTTTGTAAATAATTTTAAATATTTTATGCATTTTAATTGTTATTTTGAATTTTGGTTTATCTTTTTATATCATTAAAGATTGCCTAAGCCCAAAATAATAGGACTCGACCAATTTTCTTTTCATTAAGAGACTCTAATTTTCTAACCCTCCGCACATACTTTTGCCTAACAACAACAACAACAACAACCCGGACTTTTGCCTACATAATAGTTAAAAAAAAACCACCACAAGAGTAAAGAAAGCAAATTCAAATTGCAAGACAACAACGGCTAAAGCTTAAGAAAGCAAACTTTTAGTTTGTTTTTTGTTCATTCTTTTCATATAAACAAGTAAATAATCTTTCAGTTCTGAAAGAAATATATAAAAAAGCATAAATTTAGCAAATTATTTTCAGAATGTTGTCTAGCATTGTTTTATTATTATCGACGTATCATTAGCTTACTAAGAACCGAAAAACCGAACCAAACCAACAACAATCAAACCGATGGTATGAATTTAATTTGGTTTGGTTTTGGTTTTAAAATTTTAAAAACTGATTAAATTGGTTTGGTTTTGGTTTTAAAATTTTAAAAACTGATTAAATTGGTTTGGTTTTGGTTTTAATCAAAAACCTACCAAACCGAACCGTGAACACCCCTAATAAAAAATACTAAGCGACTTGAAGTTTAAATCAATAATTAAAGCTTGGATCATAAATTAATATGATTAAGTTATCATGCCAATAAAAATTTACAAGAACTATGAAATACATGGCACATTAAAAAAAATTAAAAGACTAAAAGAATTCATTCCTCCTAATCTCGTCCCAAAATCATATGAATACTATATTCATCAGATAAATAAATATAAAATATAAAAATATAATGGAAAAAATTGAATTTTTCTGTAAAAGCCTATCAGAAAGAGAACTAAATAACTTTCAATAGCCTATCCAACAATTAATAACTAACCATGGAAGCTTAGGAACAAACAAAATATTGAAATAGCAATACATGTGTCGAAATAATTGAAAGTTTTAGACCGAAAAAGAGAAAGAAAAAAAGAAGAGATTTTTGAATGTTAAATCAATAGGTAATTTGACTTCAAATTGTAGTTCTACAGGCAATCAAATATGTATTTGTTGTATTTTTTCCAACTTTTCTGTCAAATAAAATTTACTACATTCGAATTTTAAAAATTAAAATTATACCAACATATTTTTGTAAGGAAATCAATTCAAATCAGTAGATCTTGTTAAATAATGGATTGAATTTAAATTCGGTTTTTTTTTGCCATGAATTAGAGCTTTATGTAGCTGCTATATATGTATTTCCGCCAATAATATCTTCTTAAAAGATTTACTACTTTTTGAATTGTAACTGAATAGAATTTATTTGAGTGATATAACAACAACAACAACAACAACAACAACAACAACAACAACAACAACAACGACCCAGTATAATCCCACAAGTGAGGGTAATATGTACGCAAACCTTACCCCTACCCCGAAGGGTAGAGAGGCTGTTTCCAGGACCCTCGGCTCAAAAAAGTAACAGGAGACGATATATTAGTACCATAAAAATGCATAATAAAATAACAGCTTTATAAGATATATGAAATACAGAATATGAAATACGAAATAGATGGCTGGTATAGTAAAAACTAGCAGGTAAAGCCCTGCATCAATAGACGACCAATGGCATTCTTAGTCTAACTCCTAACTGGCTAGTCTCACTCTATTGTGTTGTAGAAATATTCACAACTTTCCCCTAACCTACAACCTTAATGCGCGACCTCCATAATTCCCTGTCAAGAGCCATGTCCTCAGTAATCCTAAGTCGCGTCATGTCCTGTNGCATTCCACTACCAATCTTGTTTGTGGCCATCATTGTGGCCCGTAGATATCCCTAACACCTCTCTCACCGCCTTTCTTATACAGTCCGCCGTCGTCGACCACATTGTGTTTGCGTCCCCACTACTTCTCCAAGCTCCCATTGCCGATAACCTTCCTTCCAACTCCTTAGCTTTATCCTTAGTTAAGGCACCCCACCTAATCCTGGGGCGTCCTTGTACTGACCTCTTCTTCCTCCTTATCCTAATACAAATGTCCATCACCAAAAGCCTATGTTGCGTAAAATTATAAAATAAAAGTTAGAGAATTTTTTTTAACATAATAAATATTATTCTCATTCAGCTAGCTCAATAAACAAAAATATCATATACCATACAAGTTTTTCGGATGCTTTATTTGTGATTTAAAAAGGACTTATATGAAAATTTAAAAATTAAAATTAAATCTTTTGGTCTTTTAAAAATTTAGGATGAAAGTTGACATTATACCTCCTAAAAATTTATAGTGACAATATAAAGTTTAAAAAATAACTAATGTTGAATAATATTTTACTACAACTAACTTAATTTGAAAGGATAATATAGCGAGACATTATCCTATAAGACTGAATAACCGAATGCAAGAAAGAAAAAAAAAATGACAACTCATTTATAATATATTTGGTCATCTACTATTTCATCTTTATTGCTTCAAATTCATATTATTATCAATTTGACTCTTAATTTTATATTATAAATTGACTTTTTAATTTCTTTCACCATTAATGCTCTTCCTACAAAAATTAATTTATATACCTTAAAGAGTTGTCAACGACTTATATAATGAATTTTAAAAAATATTAACTTGAACTCTTTTTCATTAATTAATTCAAAAACTTAATTATTTATTTTCGACATTAAAGAAAATAAATTAACTTTTATTATCAAATTCTTAATATTAGTTCATTCCAATTTTAAAATTTAACTATAATTAGAACTTTGTTGAATAGAATTTTGATTTCAAATAGTTAAAAATTATTAGTATGACAATTTTGATTCGTTTTAGTGCTTCCGAAATCATTGTTCATTAGTATGTCAATTTTGATTCGTTTTTGTGCTTCTAGAATTATTGTGCTTTTTTACTTCTAGAAAATATTACGCATAATTTCTAAAGTTTTGAATAATAAGAAAATCTTATAGTTTAATATAGTTTTAAAGTTTTAATATTAATAGTGTCAAATAAGGACATTCATATAAGGTCTTAAAGCGTTAATATTAATAGACGTCAAATAAGGACATTCATATAAGGTAAAAAGGTTAATAATTTAAAGTTCAAAATATTAGGATTTGCTATCTAGTTTAATAAGGAAAGATTTAATAAAATAAATTTTAGTTGATTTTAAAGTCCTAAAATTTAGGAAAGCAACTTAAAATTACAAATTTATCCAATGTAAAATCTTTTTTTAAAGGGTAAAAATGGCGAACGACATTTCGTTAAGGGTTTCGTGCTTTTAATATAGTATAGATATAGATATAGATATAGATTATATAATTACTACTCCCTCCATTCCAGTTTATGTAAATCCATTTTTCTTTTGGTACGTTCTAAAAAGAATGACCCTTTTTCTAAATTTGAAGACAATTTAGCTTAAACTTACTATTTTACCCTTAATGAAAAGCTTTTATACACAAATACTTTGGATCCCATTTTGACTTGTTTAGGATCACAAATTCCAAAAGTCTTCAATTTTTTCTTAAACAATGTGCTCAGTCAAACAAGTTCACATAAATTTGAACCGAGGGAATAGTAAAATCTAATGAGTAATGAACACTAATTAATATGAATTGCATGTAGCATCAAATTACCAAAACATATAGTATTCACTTCATTTCATGTGTCTTAGTTTTGATTGAATAATAGAGTTTAGGAAAATACAGAAACTTTTAGATCTTGTGACCTTAAACTAAAGATGTGTGTAATGTATTAAAATGAGTTTTGAACTTGTGATCTTCGTGAAAAATATTTGATTTAGAGTTACTGAACCAGCGTAACAAAAATTGAAATGTGTAAAACAAATTAACATAAATTATCAAATTAAGTCCAACTAGAAGATTGTGCATCTGGCTGTCAAGGTATGGAATGACAAAATAGCTCACGGAAGGAATGACAAAATTGCCTACAGGAAGAGGGCAAAAGGGTAAAATTAGAAAAGTAATGGATCCGATTTGGATCGGGGGATTGAACCCGACGTGAATCGAACACGCAACCTTCTGATCTGGAGTCAGACGCGCTACCATTGCGCCACGGATCCTGGTGGTGCTTAGGGAGCAGGCGAAAACATATTTTAACGTCATTTTTATTAAAAAAAAATCACTTCTTAATTGCTTTCCAAATTCTTATTTTCCTAAACTTTCTCTATTTTTTTTCACGGAGGCCTGCTGATGGTTTGTTCTTTCAACTTGTATTTTTATTCTATTTTTGGAAAATAAAAAAGATTAGTGAATCGGATAAATGAAATATCCAAGTGAGACACTTTTTACTTTTCTAGAAAAAAAAAAAAAAAAAAAAAGAAGAAGGAGGAATAGACACTTTAAAAGATATTTACGTTAAAATTTCCACTATACGTGGTTTACATTCCACGTGTCATCATTCTACATCATGTATAGGTCCTACAAAAATCTGATGGCATGCAAACATTCAGAAAATTCACTCCCAGCAAACAGCTTTGACCATGCAATATTTGCAAATATTTAAACAAAATTTTCTCAAATAAACGAAGGAAAAAAATTCATTCAATAAAAGCTTTAAACGTACGTACGACTCACCGAGTAGTCTCAATTCGGTGGCGAAACAATGAAGAAAGCAACACCTGTACGGAATTCCCATACCTCCACGGCGGATCTGTTGACGTGGTCAGAGGTTCCGCCGCGTTCGTCCGCCAATGCATCTCGTTCTCGTCGTGTATGTTTTCATTTTCCATCAAATGTCTGTCTAATATTGAAATATGTAACGCTATCGTTACATATTTACGTGTAACGATATATGTAATTCATTTAATTACGTGTATCTAATATTGAAATATGACGCATTTAATTATTAAATTCTATTATGTTTCAACACGCCTCCTCACATGTCATATTTACGTGTGAACCTAATTATTTTTCATGGTCATACACATGTAATTCATTTTGTATAATGGTCGGTGATGGGACTCGAGGCCAAGATATCTGTCTACTCTAAACGTTGAACTTTGTGACCATCAATCACTTAAGATATTAGAGAATAGAGAGTTGCACTTTTAATTACTTAAGGGTTAGTTTTGTCTTTTACCTTTCATTGCAGCCTTCTGATGGAATGAGTAAGGTGTTGTTTGGAGGGCAGATTACTGATCAGGAAGCTGAGAACTTGAACAAAAGGTAAGGCAAGAAGAAAGAAAAATATATATAAGCTTTTTGAATAATTTAATTTTCTTTTGTATTTGGAATTGAGCTAGAAATTAAATGAATGAATTAAAGGAGGATTTAAATAACCTATGCTAGCTATTTGGAATTAAGGAGTAGTTGATTAATTGATTAGTCGCATCAAATTACAGAAGGATTGATTAGTCGAATCAAATTACAGAAGGATTATCTAGATTATGTTTCCGTGTTGTAACTCATGCTTGCACTTTGCAGACAGAGAAGTTTCTATTGTTTAGAAAAGAAATGAAAAAACAATTAGTAACTCATGACGAAAGCGGATCCAAGATTTAAACTGTATGAGTTCAACTTTTAAGGTTTTCAGTATTGAACTCATTATATCCTTAAAGTTATGGGTTCATATCTATAATTTATTGCGATTTCAGTGAATTTTGGCGCATAAATTTGTGCTCCGCGTCGAAAGTTATGGATTCAATTGAACCTGTTGCTATAGGGCTACATCCGCCCCTTGATGAGGTCCATCTCATTGAAGAAGTATTAGGCATGTGCCTAATAAGAGTTTTCTTTGGTTTGGTAGCCAACCTTGTTGACTTGGTTTGGTTGGTAGCCAACCTTGTTGAATTTCTTTGGTTTGGTAGCCAACTTTGTTGAATTGTGAAAAATGTGTGTAAATTGTCAAATATTGTAGGCTTTAGAGGGTGAAGCTTTGGCTATAAAAGGAGAGCTTCAACTCTCATTTCTTCACACCAACAAAGAGAGAAAGAAAGAGTGAGGTTTCACAGACAAGGTATAAGAAAATAGTCTGTGAGGAAAATAGAGAGTGAGCGATATTGTAGTGAGGTGGGAATATCAAAAGAGGGTTATTTCTTTTGAGTGTTGTAGTGGTCTTTGGAGTATTTATCTCCGACCTACAAAGTGTAAAATTCCTTACTATAGTGATATCAGTTGCTCCTCTCGGGGTCGTGGTTTTTTCCCTTATTCAGAAGGGTTTTCCACGTAAAAATCTTGGTGTCATTATTACTCTTTTATTATTGTTAATTACCGTATCTCGGTGCTACATTATTATTCCGCTTTATTACCGTGAATATTATTTTGGTAAGGGGTTTATTCCCAACACCCCTGCTGACGATGGTCGAAGTTTTGTACGTATAACATACTCTTACACCTAGCACTAAGCCTGATTGAAACTTGCTATATTCAGGAAACCTTGTTCAGGGTACAAACTAAAGGAGATGCGTGGCAGCAATCTATTTTCTGCTGTTAGTAAAACTGTTGCATCAGAACCTGAACCTGTTAATGCTAATGTTAGCAACAGGACATCTGTCCGGATCGTTCAGGTACTACTTTCCTCTTCAGGATTAACGCTTCATTTCTTTTTCTATGTTCAATGATCAGAGAAGTCCCTTACCGTTCTGTATAAATGGAGAATTCTATTTATAGAGATCGGGTGGAGGGGCGCATTTAATCCTTATTTATAAAAATTATAACAGCCGAGGATCTATCGGAAACAGCCTCCCTATCTTTATAAGGTATGGGTAAGGTCCGCGTATACACTACCCTCCCCATGCCCAATTTATGGGAATACACTGGGTTCATTGTTGTTGTTGTTATAAAAATTATAACAGCACTGGACTAGCAGTATGAGCATGCTACATAATTAGGAAATTGAATAGTAATTTGATCAAATGTTACAATGTCATTGTAGCAAGGTGCAAATGGAGAAAGCCAGATTTCATTCAGTACTGAAGAAAAGATCTCCCCGGAGACGCCTACCACTCCAACAGAAGTGGCGAATCAGAGCGAGTTGAGTGGAACACCAGAAAGCGAGCTAGATAGCAAAGTGAAGAAGCAGCTTTCGGATGCAAAGAGCAAGGAACTTAGTGGAAGTGACATCTTTGGCCCTCCTGTACAAGTTCCTCCAAGATTATTGGCTACTACACGGGCCTCAGAGCCGAAACAAAGCAAAGACATCGATGAACCTGCTCCACGATCTGTACGCACATCTGTCAAAGTTTCTAATGTAAGTTGCCTTCTGAGACTTGTCAAGGTTGGCATTCTCTTCTTATTTTCCTTGTTATGGCTTTTTAGCTTAGTACGGATCTCATTTCTGTCTTCTCAAGGTACGGGTAAGGTCTGGATACACACTAACCTCCCCAGATCCCACTTGTGAGACTGTACTGTGTTTGTCGTTGTTCTTGTTGTATGGATCTCATTTCTCTTGTGCATTTTGCAGCCTGCTGGTGGTCGAAGTAATATCTTGTTTGGCAGCGATGAACCTGTTGTGAAGCCAGTAAAGAAAATACATAACCAGAAGTTTGCGGAGTTAACTGGCAACAACATTTTCAAGGGAGATTACAACAGTCCTCCTGGATCTTCAGAAAAGCCACTGAGCAGCGCTAAGCTGAGGGAAATGAGCGGTAGCAATATATTCGCTGAAGATAAAGTTGAATCCAGAGTTTGCTATGGTGGCGTACGCAAACCACCAGGTGGAGACAGCAGCATCAGATTATTTTAAGTAAATAAATCACATCAAACTGCTACTTATGTTAACCTGTAAATGAACATACTTCAGCTGCTTCTGACTAGTGAGGCCTTCTCATGATCATTGTGGTTTTAGGAATGAGGATTGTAAATTTTGATGTGTCAATCATGTCATATGATTAATATTAACACCCTAATTTGATTCACAATACAGAACTATTATCCTACTGGAGTACTTTACTGCATAATGATCTTTTATGTTTCTTTGACTGGTGCTATGATCCTTCCCATTGGGATAAAACTTTTTTTTTTTTTTTTTTGGCGACTTCGAGAGCAATTCTATAAAATGGTGTCTACAGTTATGTTTTTTTCTATTAGTAAGGCAAATGAGCAACAATCAGTTTGAGTTATTATATTGTCTTGCAAATATTCAGCACTAGCTCGTAGTTTTGGTACTAGAAAATAGACAAGATTAAAAATGACTATATTTGGATGGTGTAAGTAGCACATAGAGGATAACATGAGAGAAGGTTGCCTGAAATGATCTAGACATGTCTTACGTCGACCTTCAGATGTATTTGTTGGAAATGTCTTACATCGACCTTCAGATGCACTGGTTCGTAGGTGTCAAACCATGGTGAGGGGATGTGTTAAAAGGGAACAAAGTAGACCTAAATTCACATAGAACAGAGTTGTTTCAAAAGACATACAATCTAATTGAATCCATGCAGACCTAGTGAAAAATAGGGTACAATAGAAGAGAAAAAATTATATACTGTAGGAGAAACCAACTAGTTGGGAATTTGGGATTAAGTTTGTTAGTACGTTTACTTTAGGTCCAATAATTTCTATTAGTATTTTCTTTATGTTATAGATTTATATGCCAATAGAAAATATGAGAACTTCTTGTGTTCTTTTTTGTTTCTTGTTCTATTTTATATAATGTTGGACCACGATGAGTTTAAATAGAAGCGACATAGACAATGAGGATTTATAAGACCGACAGAAACTTGCTTGAGATTGAGGCTGTAATGTTGTTTTTAGTCCCACAAATGATTTATGGAAAAGTAAAGAAGACCACATTGGACTGAGAAACTCTGTGGGATACAGTACCACACTTTCTTGGAGCAAACACAAACTGCAAAATTTAGGAAACACTTCTCATATCCTACAACATAATTTTCCTTATTCAAAGATCTCCATGCCCTATCAATGCCAAAAGCATTCTTTCATAGCCTCCTGAAGTGTCATCAGAAATCACACGGTCCAGAGGCATGCTGTTCCTCTGGTAATATCTTTCTTTAATGAGCTCCATATCGATTTCAGCCCGAGTTGCAACAACTCTAGTAAGAGACTCTTCATTTGTACCCATCCCCTTCATCGCCAATCGAAGAACTTTCTCAAAGTACTTCTCAGGTTTTGTCAAACACTTTATTGCTGATCTGAGTAATTTCAGGTATGCATCCTTAGGAATGGATTTTAGATCCTGCATATTCCCAATGAAAGATCAAATAAACTTTTGAGAAAGTTCAGTCAAACTTCTCTATAACAACCTCGTTTGTTCCGATATTTTTTGGCTGCTATAGTGAATTGTTGTTATAGACGATATATATCATAACATAATATAAAAACTGGTTCCAAGAAAAACTTGACTTTTATAGTGAATGACTGTTATATAGGGATGTTGTTATAAAGAGGTATGACCATAGATCTTTTGGACAATGGATGTAAAAGCAACAAGGCTTAAGTAAGCAAATTTCAGTATGAGATTTTACTTGAGTTTGGGATTCTACCTTATTGATGGCATTGCCAAATTGATCATTGTACTGGTTAAATGTTGCATTGAGCTGTGTTTTACTCCGAATCGAAAGAATTCTGATGAGTTCCTCATCACTATAAGCATTGTCAGAGATCTTCTCATGTAGTATCTTTGCCTCATTACTTGCCAATGTCATGTTGACCTCATCTCCCTCATATCTGAATGCAGTTACAAGAGGAACCAAAAGCTGTTTGGGGATTAGTTTACCTAAGATAACCACCTCAAGAATTTGCAAAAGGTAACCTATATTTGTTTCTCTGACTCAACCACAAATCTATTGAATGACGGTAGCTTGTTTAATCTTAGATATTAATTAGACAAAAATCCCTTGACTTTGCTTATGCCATTATTTATGAAAACAAATGAAAGTACAACAACAATAACAACAACAGCATACCCAGTGTAATCCCATGTAATGGGATCTGAGGAAGATAGTGTGTATGCAGACCTTACCCCTATCTTAGGAAAATATAAGCACCACATTAATGAAAAGAAAAACAAGAAGGGTGAAAGCAAATGAAAGTACCTTACGAAAATCCTCAGTCGAGTGATCAGAAATATCTTCCTCAAGCGATTTCTTGTAACAAGCGTGGTAGGTCTGTCTAACTTTAAAGAGATCATCGGAAGGCCTGGCACAAGCTATTTCCATGATAATGCAGTTGTTATCAGGTAGATGTTTGGTAGCCTCGTTAGCCAAGCATGCATCGCGCTCAGCTGGATCCATAGTCCACAAATGCACAACGCGCTGTAATGCCATTTGGATTGCATTATAAGCAGAGGCAGAATTGAACAACAACAGCATACCCAGTGTAATCCTATGGGGATTCAAGAAAATGCTAAAAGAATGCCACATCTGAAAGTCAAACCAACAACAACTACGCCTCAGTCTCAAACAAGTTGGGGTCGATTATATGAATTCTAACTGACTACGTTACTCCACTTAAATCATCTCATGCCAATATATGAAAGTCGAATCCATGACTTAAAATTCTTATGACTCCGTTTGTCACTGCACTAGAAGCTTCTCTTGTGTTAATGAAATTCAACATTTAATATGCATACATAAAAAAGATTTTCGTCTATACACTACAGTACTACAATTTTCCGGCAAAAGGAGATTCAATTGTCCACCCTTGGACCAATGTGGTTCCACCATTCATCGTAAAGCAATATTAGACTTTGGTTTGTTTGAGAATAAAAATGTGTTTGTATCTTAGTGCTGTTGAATATATTTAATAAAATTCTAACACTTATTTGAAAAATGTGCTTGTGTTATAAGTAATTAATCCAAGATACTAGAAATGTACAAATGAAAGAATGAACAGATAAAGCAGGTCTCTAATATTCTGCATGCTGGTAGTGGTACAGATCAGAAAATAGGCCATCCAATTACAAACTAGAATTTTCACTTCTTGCCCGTACCAGAAATTATTTATATTCGGTAGCCGAAAAACTGTATATAATTTGTATAATTTTTGTCTATAATATACAGAATATATATATATATACACACACACAAAATATATAAAAAAAAAATTGGCTACTATTTTGAGAGCGGTTATACACTTTCAGAAGGAAAACCTGAACCTAACCTGAAAGTCACCTGATATTTCACCATCTAAGTCCTTGAGAAGATCCTTTTCATAAGTAGTTTGATAAGTTTCTCGGATTAACTTGCGTTGTGCTGCATTTCTATGACCCAAGATCTCAATAATACGCGCTTCATCTGTTCCCAATCCTACAAATGTACGTATTTTCAGCACACAATCAAATGCGGATGTAGCATGGGTTCAATTGGATTCAGTATTTTTCATACGATATAAATATATGCAAAAAATCACTAAAGTTTATTAATTCAGATCTGAATTAATAAATCAAGCTGGTAAAAAGAGAGAGACCTACAAATGCTTTTCTGAGTTGTTGAGAATCCTCAGCTGCAGAAGGAACCAACTCTGGAATTTTTAGACTTGCCATTGTTTTTCCTTCTTCTCTCAATGTTGAGAATATAGATTTCTTCCTACTTGATGATCTGTGATCTGTTACTTCATCCCTACATATGCGATATAAAAGGAAAGAATATTCAGACAATGTACATTATGAAAACGTTACGTCAATTTAATTAAGTTAGTTGGGTTCGATTATATGAATCCTTAATATACATTTTTGAACACATGTAAATATTTGGAGTATTGGGTATGTTTGGTAATGTTTTCCAAGAAAATATTTTCTTGGAAAATAAGTAGTAATCTTACTCATTTTTCGGTGTTTGGTACTCAAATTAAGGAAAATAATTTCTCAAGAGTATTCATAAATAATTTAGATACAATAAACATGAAGTCATAAACTTTCGAACCAATAACCTTCCAAATCCACAAATTTCATAAACTTTCGAAACCGCAAACTTTCGAACCCGTAAACTTTATAATTTCTAAATACTCGTAAACTTCCAAACACATAAACATCCGAACTTATAACTTTGGAACTTGTAAAATTTCGAACATGTAAACCGAAAGATGAAAAAACTAAAACTGAAANTTGAAAAATATTTTTAGTCATATCAAACACACTCTTTATCTTGTTTAATCATTTTCGCATATTAAAAAGATATATAGAGCGTATTAGGTTTACAACTATTTAAACAAAATTTTTGTGCTTGATTAATGATGTTAACCCATAAGATTTGGCTTAATCCAAATCACGATTTACAAACTAACATCATTTTTTAAGCATATATACTTGTTTTGGCTCTGAATCATGTAAATTTTAGGTTTATGTTAATCCACTTCCTTAGTTGAAGTCTAAATCATATCCTTTTAACATTTTGATCATTATTTTCTGATTTAACGTTGCTCAAATTTATACTCTTTTTAACTATTAAACAAGTATAATTAAGCACACAAAAGTTAGGGAAAAAATGGAGTTGTATTTCTTAAGGATTGGTAAATTATACTTCTCCTAGAGATTTCCTCAACAGTTCTAGTAGAATTTATCAATTTAGAAATCAATCACGGAGGAAAATTTGAGTTGCTATAATTCATTCTTTGAGAACTAGAAGTGATGAATAAATATCCAATACCGTTTCAAAGTAGCTTAATCCACTCAATATTTACACAAATTTGTGACTTGATTTGTTGTCTAATAACAAAAGTATGACGGCGATAAAAAAATGGAGGGTCAATTTCACGTATAATTACGGAGGTTTATCCATTATAATAGTAAAAATGTAACATTATTTTTTGGTCGTAGTGTTTAACTAAAAATATATCTTTCGGTCAAAGATTAATTTTAGAAGAAAACGGGCTTCTGATAACTAAGTTTTGTCTCATTTTCTCAGTGGTATCAAAGGAAAATAACAAAAATAAATAAAGAAGTAAATAATTGCAAAGTCAAAAAAGTGAATTTCGAGAAAAGCAAAAAAGTAAAGTGAATATATTCTAATATTGTCAGAGATGTCCTTACGAGTGAAATTCTCTCCTCTTAAGTAGAGGTTTACACATATAACGTTTCCTTCCATTTATGGCTAAATCATTATGAGCTTTAATGGTATTAATGATCCGTTATAATTAATAATTGTAACTATCCATGAGGATTTTGTAACGATTCTGATTCCCCTCCTCATTAATTGAAGGTTCATGAATCTTCCCTTTTTACTGTCTTGATTCAGTCTTTGCCAGTTGTTAGGCTCGGTACTATCTCATAGGTGTTTCCCTCCTGTGCCTTTTCGTATACTATCAAATAAGACTGCTACGTGTTGCTATATTATTGCTCTTACGTGTTATGCCATGTCAGTGTCGCGCCCTTTTTTTCCTCGCGAAATAGTGTTTATGACATTGACAACTCTTTTAACGGGTATTAAAAGAGAAGAGTCTCCACCTAATGATTAAAGTGCAATAGGACACTAAGAGTTTGATTTAGGAAAACCAGAGACCGAGTAAGGGCTTGAAATTATCCCGAAGGGAAGGTGTTAAGCACCCCTCAGAATCCACTAGTGTGGTTCCCGACCATACTATAATTGTGACTTTAAGTAAGCAAATAAGAGTTTCAAATATGAGGGATTTTCACATAAGGGTTGCAAATAGATAAAATTAAAAGAAGTGAAAGGCAAGCTGAATTTTGAGAAAAACGATTTAAAGTTTTGAAAGGTAAACAACGAAATAAACAAGTAAAGGAAAGAGGAGTCCTAAGTTTATAAATAATATGGATCACCCCACACAATGTCCGGTAATCGCTCCTCGACGAGGGGTTACACGTGACATTATCGCGTGGTCATCACATCCATATCTACCATTTTCCACCCTATTAAGATGTTAAAGCGCGGAATAGTCTCATTTACTTATTGCATGCTATTACCCGCCCCAATTCTATCAGCCCCGGAGGTGCTTGGGACTACTAATCCTATAATGGTGGAAAAGTTGGCTTATTTGTGGTTTCAAAAGGTGAAAAACTAAAGCGACAAACAAAACATGTATAGCAAGTATTGGGAAAACACATAAACAGGTATGGCTCAAATAAACCTCCTCAAATCAAAGAAAAGCATCTAGTTTAGCATGTCTTACATATACTGATTAGGGTTTGATTAAAACTTAAAAGGGAAAGCAGGCTGATTTATCACATTTTTTCAGATAAGAAGTCCTAATTAGACCTGCCCGCTGGTCGTAATTAACAAAGAAAACTGGTGCAGTCATAACTTTTATCCTAAGGCTTGCCTAAGTGTTAGACGAAACCTATAGGCATGATATTTATTGGTTTCAGAAAAGATAAAGTGTACTGATTTTAAAAGAGGTCGTCAGTTATTCAGGGAAGACGAGTTTTGACAAAAGATTCTGCAGATGTTGGACAATGATATTGCCGATTTTAGACTTATAGGTGAACAAAAACGTTTCATACTAGATTGTTAATTCCTATCGGCATGCTTTCTAGGCGTTGTTGACTTTAAAAACATTGTTATTGACATGCAGAAATCTTATAGGCAGGTCATCTATATGCAGTTAGTTATTTAACTCCTATAAACAGGTTTGCCTAATGACAGATGCACATGCAAATTGCAGGAAGTCTTATAGGCATATTATCTATATGATATGCAGAATTTCAGAAACGACTTGTGGACATGGTCTCTATATAATACAGAAGTGCAGAAACCTATAGACATGGTCTCTATATAATGCAGAAATGCAGAAACCTATAGACATAGTATCTATATGAAATGTGGAAGTGCAGAAGTATAATAATTCCCTATGAACATGATATCTATATGAAATGCAGAAGTGCAGAAGTATAAT